TGTTGTCCAGGACCTCTCCAGGGCGGTGACAGGCTAAACTTGACAAAAACTAGAATAGGTTTTATTGCTAATCCGCCAGCGTGTCGAAGTGCCATGCGCTTGAGCTGGTTTTGTTTGCCTGTCCTCCTTCGTCCGGCCTCTACACAATGTAGTGCAGCTGCGTCAACACTGCTCTACATACTCGAACTCTTCAACCGACCGTGAACGGTAACTGTTCAGTCTCTTGATTGGCCTCTCCGTAGTATTATGGACACTCTCCCTTTAAATCTAGCCTACGAGTGTTTGGTATAACAACCGGTCGTGTACCCTACCGCCACACCCCCCCCCCCCCCCGGAGGGTCGTAGGTCAGCTCAGGGTGCCAAGCCCAGTCTCAGGCTGTTAGGCACCGGACTTCCCCGTTAAGAGATTACAGCAGGGGGGGGGGTCCAGAAGGGGAGAACCCGAGGTTGCCCGGAAGCAGCCCTCACTTTCATTGGAGCGAATAGTGACGGGTTGGATGGCTGGGAGAAGCGGATCTTTTCCTTGGAGTCCCCGAGGCCCCGGTAGGCGCAAGGCCCGAACCGGTTCCTGGGAACCCTCTCGAGCCACAGTTCGGGCGGACCAAGATCACAGGAGAATCCCAGCCTCCGGCAAACACTAGGTATCTGTTGTTAGCACTTCGTGCAATGCATCTCATATCTTCCAAGATACAAGTATTTAAGCAGTCGGCACAAGCTAGAGTGAACCCAACGTGAAAGCAGGTTGCGGTTGAAGCCCCGTAGTCTTGCATACACAACGACAGCACACTCCCGTGGCTCCCGCGATGTTATGATCCAATACTAAGTGACTACCCCTCTTCTACGGAGAATGTAGACGCCAAGCGTCCGGCCCTGGAAGTCAAGGCACTGGTTTCTGCTGGTACTGACAACCCCGCCTGGGTGATGAGCTTCACCGCCACGCTCCCTTGCTGATTCTTGAGGCACAGCCCCGAGTAGCCCACTATCAGTTGCAGCACCTCACACCGGGCGCTACATAGCACTACGGCACTACGAGGCGGGTAAAGCTGCGAGAATTTCCCCCGCTTATGTCGGACGCACACTCTCCACACCAGTTGCGGGATTGATGCTGACTTTGCTTTCGCTGCCGTGGACGGCATTGCACGGTTCAGTCATGCGCACAAGATGTGGTTCTGCGAAGACAACCGTATCTAAGGCCTGGAATTACACAGCCTGGCAATGACTTTTCAGGCTGTAGATGCAGGATTGCATCATGTTGTACGTTTCAACGCAACGAGCTTGACCAACCCCTTCCGTTCCGGCACCGTCTCCACCAGCAACGGCTTGCCACTGACCATCGTGGCCGGGCTGAGCACGTTCAGGCTCCTCGGGAACGTCCCAAGAAATCGCAGGCACAACTCGGAAGGTCAAGTCAGGATCCTTGCACATCAACTTCCCGTGACACTGAGCCCTGAAACCCTCAGTCCCGGGAGTCGCAGATTCCAGGAGCTTGATGCAAGCCGAGTACCTCCCATGGTCCGGACAAAGCGGGGACTTCTGCGCTTCCTCGGCTTGGTGTCGCACTGCCCCTGCTTCTCGAAGTCGATGTACTGCTGCAGAACGCGCTGAGGCAGAAGCTGAAGCACCTCTCCGGGGCAGGGTACCCATGCCGATCCAAAACCCGTGTAGGACCAACTGAGATCCCTGTACCAGGCACCTTGGCACGGTACGCCGCAAAGCGATGTGCCTTGATTGGCAGCCAGATAGGCTTGCACCTTTCAAACATCGAGCATCTCTTTTCGAGTTCGGAGTGCTGGCTGACTACCAGTAGGAAGATCTCGAGAACAATTGGGGAGGTACGCATGTAGCCCGAATGCGCACAGAGTTAAAGTCTGTCGATGTCTACAGGCCAGGAACCTCGAACCAAGAATGACGCCTCCAGAATCCTAAACCCTCCTCGAAAACCCCGGCGCGGACCCCCGAAGTTCGTTCCTTTTTGCACCTCCCACAGAACTGAAATTCGAAGATCAACCCTGACACTACCATGTCTCGCGGAAGCTTCCACCTGGACACGCAGAAGTTGGTGTCCAGTTTGGGCCGCCTTGGCGGATTGGAGAACCAAACAAACCCTGAAGCTTCGGGGTGCAGGGTCTACAGTCTACAGGCTTTGTTTAGGGTTCTTCGTTGTGCCTTCGTATTGAGGGGAGATGTTGAGAATCTCATGTCTCTCTTTTGGCCTACGGATGCACCCGGCATCCTGTATCCTTCCAGGTAATACTCTGCAAGCAGCCTCCATTTGGTACGGCACGCCAAGGCCCTGAACCGATCTCCAGGCTTTGCTGGATAGAGAAGTTCCTTTATATACGGAGCCGCTGTGCTGTCGAATCACGCGAGCAAGTGCACTGCTAGACCTGGAGCATCTGGCTTGCGCGCGGTCTTGCGCCAACGGTAAGCCGCCAAGCCACAAAGCAACAGGCCCGGACTCAGCCAGAGGACTCGGTGGCATGAGGAGTGCAGCACCTTCGACAGCTCGGTGATCTGCAACAGCCTGGTTGTCGCTGCCGATGCTGAGACAAGGAGCATCATCGGATGCTTGACCACCTTAAGGTCGCTTTCAATCCCCTTGGCTTTGCAATGCATGGCGCCCTCGTGAAAGCTGCCCGTAAAATTCTCCACGATGTCATGGCAGGGCTCAAGCAAAAACTTGGTGCCGTCATCTTTCTTGAAAGCTCCACAACACTTCTGCAAGGCCTTCTCTACAGACGGCTGGATGGTCTCGAGAGCAAAGACAACTTGGCAGCCACAGTAGCGGCATTCTTTGGTCAAGTCCGGATTGGCATCGCCATCTCCGTCGCAACCCTGGCAGTCATCCCAAGAAAGATCGTGGCACTCCTGTGTGAGCTCTGCCTGCACTGTCTTGTTGACATGACCCACCTCGGCCGCCGTGCAGTTGAAGAACTCATCCAGAACGGCTTGGTGAGCTTGCACCCATGATAGCAACGGCAGGGTCAGAATCCCAGCAATGCTGGTGATGGCGACCACTGAAACCACCAGGGCAAAGAGAAATCCGCAAAGACATCCTCCGAGGCAGCAGCAGCCAGCTTTCGTGCAGCATCCACAGCCACAACAACGGCTTCGGCACATTGGACCAAGACGACAAACAGCCCTTCGAAGGGAACGAACTTGAAACAAGGAAACGAGGCTATCTGATGCCAATATTCTTGAGTAATCCTGGCTGCCGTACCACTGTGCAGGAAAGACTCGCTTCCTTTCTAACCCTTCATACCTTTTCCAGACACCGCAAAAACACAGGTCTAGTTTTGGGCAGGTGCAAACGCCAGGGTCCGCGCTGCTTGCCCGGGGTCGTGGTCGAGGTGCCAGGACGGCTGCCTTGCATTGCACCTGCGGCAAAAAACTGGGGAGATGGGGAGTGCCATTCATTCCACGGGACGTGAGGTCTCTCTAGCACCACTGGTGCCCTCAAGTCTCCGGCCACAACCGCAGTCGGGAGACTTTCTGTTCTGCGCCGTAGAGTTCGGAGTAAGCTGGTATAGCAACGCAGTGCCTGTACAAAGAGCTTGTGCTGGAGGTTCGCCAGCCTTCGGCGTTCGGACCCGTCAGCAGGTGATGGGCGTTGCTTGGCCGGAGATGGGCCAAACACGTAAAACTTCAAGCGGAGGCGATGGATCGGGTTTGCCAGGAAAGGACTTCGAAAAAGCGCTTTTGTGACGAGCTCCGAAGAGCCAGAACTGGTACATTGTGCAAAGTCCGGCTGAGCAGCCTTGCTATAGCCTTGCCATCCGATTCTCCGCGCTAATGGAATCCGCACTCCCTCCACATACTCGCTCATCTAGGCAGCCTCTTTCACATCCAGATTGACGATATCGGTCTTCGACATTCCCGTCTCCTCCTCCTCGTCCTCACCTGGGAGGTCGTCCAGCTGCTTCAGTTCATCCTCGGTGAACATGAACCTCATGGCCTTCCGGATGATGGCCAGGGAGGCCACAAACAACGGGAACACGACAGAAGTCTCCTTAATTGCCTGAATCCCATAGAGGATTCCAAGCCAGATGACTTGGACGACAGTGTACAGGCGCACTCGACTGATGGGAAAGTTCTGGATGTAGTGGTACTGCGGGTACTTGGCCGGGTCCCAGATGAGCCGGTGCCAGGAAGAGTGCTGAGCCTATAAGCGCATGAATCCTTAGTAATTGCGGGGTCTGCATTATGGTGGACGCCAGCATGAGAAGGATGGGGGTTGGGACTTCTTCGGAAGCTTGAGTAGTTTTGATTGTGTGTTTGTCTTCAGTCTTTGTTTGGAAGGAGCCTTGGTCCTCAGTTGCTGAGTTCAGAAGTCCCAGGAAAGTGTAAATTTCAGTTCTATAGGGGATAATATTCTACCAAAAAGTGTCAAGTGCACTCATTCAGCTGCTAAGATTCAAGAAGTTTGTGGTACGCTATTCCACACTCTTCGAAGGCACCTTGCGCTCACCTGCCGGCAGCTGCTTCACTTCGTCAGTTGTCAACGAGATCACGTGGGTGATGCTCGGCCACGGACAGGGGCAAGCCCGGCACTGCACAGATGGGCAGCGTGAGTGCTGCCCGAACAAACCTGAGACCGTCTTAAGAAGGAAAGCATGAAGGATATGTTTTATGGACTCCATCTGCTAAAAATACAAAAAAACCTCAACGTGCAGCCTTGAAAGCGTTGATACTGAGGCGCAGGGTGCGGCATGAAGCACCCTGACGGCTCAACAACACTCATCAGGCCAACCACCAGTCAGCAGCGAGCCGAGCGATCGAAGCCACCATTTGTTTGCGGCGCCACTCGGTGATGGCCCCCTGCTCCGTCATTGCCTCATGGCTGATCTTCATCACCATGAAAGCTTTGGCTTCTCTGCTGAACCTGCCACGAGCAAGCGGCCGAAGATCCGCTGAGCAAGGCCAAGGGGCGTGTACCTTGGCTCGGGTGCTACTGTCATAGCACAATAGCACCCGAGCCAAGGTACACGGCCCTTGGCCTTGCTCAGCGGATCTTCGGCCGCTTGCTCCTTCTTCCAAAAGATCTGAAGTCTCCTCGGGATGAGAAAGAGCAGATCCGAAGCAGCCGTCCTACCAGAAAGAACTCTCCAAGAGGAACACATCCCAAGGAGCGTTTGTAATGGCAGGTTGACTCGCTGTCTCAAAATGTGGCCCCAAAAAGTCCAAAGGCGCCGCAGCCATAGTTCACCCCATCTAGCCCTGAGCGAGGCGCTGGGCGCACCCACGCGCCGCATCATCAGCCTTGGTGAAAGGCAGCCGGCTTCTTCAGACCGTTGGCGGGTCTGTTCACGATCACAGGGGTGAGACTCTGATCCAGGTAACCCAAAACTGCGAAGCCAATCGCCTCGGTTGTGCTTGAGACGTTCCCCTGCAACCTTACAGCCCCAAACTACAAGAGACCAAAACCATGTTCACTTATCAAGTCGCCGGGAGGATCGCATAGGCAATGCCCCAAGCTGGGAAAGGGCGGTCCATGCCGGCGGGATTAATGATCCACGGCCGCTTGCTGCCATCGAACAAGCTCAAGTACACGTGGCCTCCGCCCTGTCATCACTGGACTCTGCGCGACTGGCTGCGCTTCCAAAAACCGAGCAGCCATGGAAACCCCCACGGGTGTTAGGCAACCAGGAAGCCAGAGGCCGGTCGGAGCATCGCCGGAAAAGCGGCCGAAGACATTGCCCCATCTTCAAGCTCACGATACTCAACCAGTTGGCCCTGGGCACCTGCATTGAGGTGCTGTGGCAAGATACCAAGAAGACACGCACTGAGGAATTGTCAACCGGTCAAAAGCACGAAAGGCACGGACCCTCGAGGCTGCGCAGAGACCGGAAGGAGACAAGCCACACAAGCCAACACCAAAGCACATTTGCCAAACCATCTGCGAAATTGACACTTCAATCTATTTGGTACCCTGTCGGCTATGTGGACACATTCAGGTACTTGTTGATCCGCTTGTTTGCCGGGGAAGTGGGAGAAGAGTGAAATCAGGACAGCTTCACTTCGGCTCTCACATTCGAAGCGCTTTCGTTTTGGGAGACATTCCTGCAGCCGATGACAGAAAGCTCACATGTGTTGGGGGACTGTTGAGCAAGGCTACGGCAAGGACTCCTCCAGAGATATGCCACCATGCTTGAGACCCACCGAGAGAAGGGGCGCTGACAACTTGCAGAATACTTGTGCATGCAGGCTTCACGATGCGGATCCGAACTCGAAGACCATGGGTTGACGGTTTTACATATCCTTCAAGCAAACCTGATGTGACCTTCGTAGGATCCTGCATGTAGAGAGAAAATTTGTCTCACAGAGATGATGTGAATGAACGAATACAATAATCATGAGTGAGTGAATACACATATACAATTTAATCATGATGAATGTCTACAATGCAGGGCAAGAGGAACACTGCATATTTTGAAAGCTCGCCTGTTGCTTGTCACAGGCACTGCCCAACAAAAGCTTCGCGTGACAAAGTCAGCAGGATGGTCCTCCACAACCCTTAACCATGCTTAAGATCTTCATGGATGGTCCGATGGCCTTGACACGCATGTCTAAGCTAGGTGCTTTGTTGACAGGTCATGTCACCACACACTGGGCGTCCACGTCTTGCAACAGTGGCCGCTCATGTACAAAGACTTGACGACCTCCAGAGGTGACCTTGGAAGCCCAGAGGTGTGAAAATGTGGTGCCAAGCACCGGATGCAAGAGTTTCTGGAGTTCTGGAACAGAGGGCCCAGCTTTGGGTTCAGGGTGACTTGGAAACACAAGAACGGACCAGAAATCCAGGGAGCTGTCAAACATGTTCGTCCTCCGCGGGGGTTCCTGGAGAGCTCCCCCACACATGCGGAGGTGTCAAAAATTCTGTGAAACGGTTGCTGCAACTCTGCTCTCCAAACAAAGCGCTGCAACTGTCACAAAATTCTGTTTCATGCAGTTTAACTGAAGGGCTGCTCTCTCATTTAAAAGAAGAGATGCACCTCAGGCAAGCACACGTCGAGTGTGACGTCAGAGCACAAGCCGGTGGCATCCGCTTCTCAGGGCTCTGCAAAAAGAAGCTCAGGCTTGCGCGATCGCCAGCTTGTCGGCTAGCCGGTGCGGGCCTTCTTTCTCAGCCTGGTGAGGCTAAGGGATAAGAGGCGGCTCAGGGTAGCCCTGGTCAAGCGGGCAAGCCTGCGACCAGATGGTCCGTGGTCATGGCGTGGTCTTCGTCATGATGGCCATCATATCATATCATATTATATATATGTATGTATATTATGACGTCGACGGCCAAATCGATGGATGATGACGATAGGAACGAGAATCATAACTACTAACGGCTTGCTGAAAATGACAGGGGTAACGGAGGTGGCCAGGCGACAGTCGCAGCTATGATGGTGACGATGGTGGTGAAGACGATGATGGTGGTGGCTGCAGTATGCTGCCGTCGTGATCGTGGTGGTCCTGGTCGTGGTCGTGGTCGTGGCGGTGGCGGTGGCGGCGGCGGCGGCGGTGAAGGTCGCGGTGGTGCTCGTGGTGGTGCTCGTGCTGGTGTGCTGGTGCTGGTGCTGGTGGGCGCTGGTGGTGGGCGCTGGTGGGCGACGGCGACGAGAGCAGGGATGGTGATGAAGGTGAGTGGGGCAGAAGCAGCAGGAGGAGGTGGCGGGCGGTGGTCGCGTTCCTTATATCTTCATGTGCTGCTCGTATATCAGGGCACAAGCACGCCGTCCGGCATGAAGTCAACATCTCCAGCCGCAACCCTTTGCCGCAGAACCACCGGGGCCCCAGCTGCTCTTCGTCGTGGATCTTGGCCTCCCAATATCAGACTTCGAAGGCGTTCGCATCGGAGTTTAGGCTTCGAAAAATGTTCGGGCATGCGACGTCGGGTTTATGGAATGAAATGAAGCCGTCTGAAAACCTTCCATGGGCTGGCGGAGGTTCGCGACGGCTCATGCCACAAGTGCTCTGATCTGCATGCAATCGTGGCCTCCAGGGACGCCCGCACCTCCTGCAGCGCGATTGCAAAATTGCTTGATCGTGGCTGCAGGAGGCCAAAATGTTGCTTGAAAACCTTCCGACGTGTTGGGGCGTGTGCAGACTGGTTGCATTTTGTCAGCATCGCCATCGTCGTTACAGTTATCTTCTGGCAGCAGTCGTATTCGTCTTCGTTGTCGTGGCTGTTGGCTGCCGTGGTTCAGGCGAAGTGGTGATGCTGCTTCCTGTAGCGCGCGAAAACTGGCGGGCACTCGTGGTCGCCCTCGTTCTCGAGGTCGTCGTCGTGTTGAAGTCGTAGTCGTACACGTAGTCGTCGTCGTCGTCGTCGTAGTAGTAGTAGTAGCAGCAGCAGCAGCAGTAGAAGTAGTAGCAGCAGCAGCAGTAGCAGTAGCAGTAGCAGCAGCAGCAGCAGCAGTAGCAGTAGCAGTAGCAGTAGCAGTAGCAGTAGCAGTAGCAGTAGCAGTAGGAGTAGCAGTAGGAGTAGCAGTAGTAGTAGTAGTAGTAGTAGTAGTAGCAGTCGTAGCCGTAGCCGTAGCCGTAGCAGTAGCAGTAGCAGTAGCAGTAGCAGTAGCAGTAGCAGTAGT